AGCTGGGTCTCTGGCCAGCCCAGAAGTCTTCTCTGGAAGCCAGGTTTCCAGTCCCCTTTCAGCACTAACTGCCCCACCTCCCTGTGGCCAGATGGCTAAACTTGATGCATCTGTCAGAGCAGAGAGCCCTTCGGAGAGAGGGTTGCTTTGAAGCTCAGCTGACACTAAGCATGCAGAAGCCTCCAGCAGCCTCTACCTACCAAGTGCTGGGATTACAGGTGTGTGGAGCCAGTTTTACTCATGAAAGCTACAACTTCTCAGTTGTCCTTTTGCTTCTTACTCCTAAACAGTTATGTAATTTTATAATTGGAAGTTAGTATGAAATTATCAGCTAACCAGAGCAGATCCAGAGCCAGTGACTCGCCCGAATGCTTATGACAGATTACTGGGGCCGGTCCACAATGATTCCGCTTCCATAGGCCTTTTGTTAAAAAGCTTGCCAGGTGACTTTAATGTGCCTTTTGTTTTGGAAGGCACCTCAGCTCTTGACATCTGAAACGTACGTACCAGGACAGGTGCAGTTTTCCTGATTATACCTAAGCCTCTCTCACAGGGAGCCCACCACCAGGAGAACCAGGGTACGAGCACGCTTCTGGCTCCGAGTGTGCGTTCTTTGATTTGCAGGTATGTAGCCTCTGACAGCTGTTTTAAGAGATTGTGATCAGAAGATCCATTACAGAGGTCACAGCAAAGATACATTTGCCATAGTTCTTTCTCAATGAAGAAACATGAGTATTTTAAATTATACTAGGGCTGGGCCTGTAGCTCGGTTTGTATGGTGCTCACTTAGGATGCACGAAGTCTTGCTTTCCATCCCCAGCACTGCAAAAACATATGCAAGTCATCTAGCACTTGAGATGTAGACGACACAAGAGATCTGAAGTTCAAGATTATCTTCCTTGGTTCCAGAGTCAGTATGAGACCAAATTAGGATATCAGCCTCAAAAAAACTAAAAGAATGTAAAGTAAAATATACTGTTATTTTCACATGTGCGTTGTAGTTAAGTAAAAGGGGTGTTGGACTCTGTATTATTTGCCCTATAATTATCGAGGCGATATTATTTGACCCACTATCACAAATAAAACACAAACACCTGTTAGACTGCCTTATTACCTTGGGCCGGGCAGATATTTCTACCTACACTATCTCAATAAGCTCACCATCCAACTCCCAGACCCAGTGCCACCTGCCATAATTATTCTTATCTGGGCTACCTTCTATCCACAATCCCAAGATACCTGCTTGTATTCTTCATCTGCGCCTTTTCATGCCATGATTGGAGTCCTTCCTCCTGGCCCACTTGGCTTCTTCTCCATGTTAACCCATCAAGGCATCCTCCTTCCACCTCTCTTCCCATCCATCTTTTTACCGTGATTCTCCTGTACTCAAAAGCCCAGGAACCTTAACCACTCCTACCCCATCTGGTACAGGCCCTTTAATTAACCAATCAGGTTTGTCTTAGGCAAGTTTACACAACAAGGACAGGTATATCCAGGGAATAACCAGATCTTGAGTGCCAGCATCAGAACAACCCCCAACACATGTAACTGGGAAAGAGCCAATAAAAGTGGTAATTTTGAGGTTTTATTCTTACCTGCCACAGTCCCAAAACATTTTCACACTATCTTTATCATCTGATCATATGTTACCTGTTTCTCATCAATTCAAATAATTCATACTTTAGTTTCAAATAATGCTACTTGAGTTTCAGTAAGTAAAGCATTAGAGGAAGCTGGGGAGATGGTTCAATGAATAAGAGTGTTTGCTCTAGCAAGGCAATGGTGCCTTGTGCCTGTGATCCCAGCCCTCAGGAGGCAGAGGCACGCGGATCTCTGTGAGTCCAGGCCAGCCTGCTCTACAAAGATGTCCCGGGACAAAGATAATTCTCAGCCTGTTTCTACCAACACTAAGCCTTTATGTAGACAGGTTATACCCCACCTTCACTTTCAGGTACCCTGCCTTAATCCTCAAACTAGTGCACTGAGCTCTTATAGAAAACAAAACCAAACCCAGAGGAAGCAAGTCGGTGGTGGCATACATACACTGGAGTGGTTGAGAACTACCACGTAGGTGTTCAGGACTGAACCTGGTGCCCCTGTAAGAACAGTCAGTGAGCTTAACCACGGAGCCATGGCTCCAGCACCCTAAATATTAACTATTATTTCAGAACTGTCTGTTCCAAGCACTGAACCATTCCCAGTGGGTGTAGTCTGAAATTAAAAAGCTACTTACAGGCCGGGCACAGAAGTGCACACTTCTAACCCCAGCACTTGGAAGACAGGGGCATCAGAATTCAAAGTTCAAGGGTCACCAGGGCTATGTAGCAGCAAGACTCCATTTCTGAAAGAAGCCACTCGTTAAAGACTGAACCACCACATTTTCTTCATACTGATCACACACTAGAATCGTCAGGAGCACCCATACTTTTTCTAAGCGCACAAATAATATTAAAAGTACCCTAAGAGCTGGAGCTGGGCATGGTGGCACATACCTGTAATCCCTGCACTTGGGAGAGAGAGGCAGGTGGATCTCTGAGTTGGAGGCCAGCCTGGTCTACAAAGTGAGTCCAAGACAGCCAGGGCTACACAGAAAAACCCTGTCTCAAAAAAGGAAAAAAAAAAAAAAAAAAAAAAAGTTCCCTAAGATTTGGCAAACTATTTAGTTATCACACTAAAACTTGGACCTCAACTTCTCCGTTTGCTAGAAGACATTAATACTGACCCATCAAGGTTATTTTTTGGTAATGAACTTAATTGATTTTGTTATTTGTTTTCAAGCAATGTAGGCTGGCCTCAAACTAGAATTCTTCCTGCTGGGATTCTGGGTGGGTGCCACATATGCCTAGTTAGTATGAGGTAATTCTGAAGTCTGAATGCATCAGGATTGACACGCTGCTACCTCAGCACATCTGGAAACGCCGGATGAAACTTATATTGACTATCAATAACTGTTGTTTATTTACCAAGTGGCAACAGTTACAGTTATTCCCCTTGACAGGCATTCTGCTACCCTAATTCTACAACTGAAAACTATTCAGAGGTTCAGCTACTCCAAGCCTCTCAAACCCGGGAGCAAGAGCAAATCTACTTTTCTTCAGGGGCAGTATTCATGACCACAGTTTTGCAAATCATACCCCCTTAACTAAGAGTAAAGTACTAACACACCACATAGAAGAAGATTAAGACATACATGCTGTCTGGATAAAGATGGTGTGCTAAGCTCACAAATAAGGGATGTGCCCGCTCGCTTGAGAGTGTCCATTCACTAACAGTCAACTGGTTTTGCCCATTTTAAGGTTAAAATCTGAAAGGATAGAGGGTGAATGAGACAACAGTTACAAAAAGTTGGAAGTTGGAAGATGAAAAGTCAAGTAGAATTCTGAGCCAAGAGGAGGAAAAGCAAGACAAACAAACAAAAATATCCTTTAATACAGGATATTATGGAACTCTCTGGAACTGGTGATTTCAGTTCAGAATTCCCAAGACTCAGGAACTGTTGGTTTCATGTGCCCCTGCAAGTAAGGAGTGAAGAGACATCAAAGTAAGAATGAGTCAGAGATCTATGTATCAGATGCCGCCTGTAACTCTGCAAGGCTAAGCAACCTCTGCAAGATGGACACCCCTCTCTGTCCTGGGCCTCAGCCCTCTGGCTCAACTCCCAGAACCCTAGCAAGGCCTTCACATAAAAGATTGGAAGAATGTTCTCTTAGGAATGACCAGCTTAATACAAAATACCTACGATATGGACTCAAACATTTTTCTCCATTAAAGGCTTCAAAGCTCTCCCTTAGGGAGAGCAAACACGGACAAGGCTCTACCTACACAGTCACTAACAAAGGCGAAGTGTCTAACGTGAAAGAAAAGGGACAAAAGCCATTTTAGACAACAAACTATGAAGGACAAAGAAAAAACAAATAATTGTATATTGTTCTATAAAGAGAAGAGGGGAAAATAGGAAAAAAAAATCAATAAAAAGACACAGACCTTATAAGAACTAATAAATGTATGTTCCAAGTTTTAACACAGCAATCAGGCATCTACACAGTGAATTAAATACAAGTGTGTCACTGTAGAATGGAAGAGACTACCAGGACAATAAATCCTTGTTTCTCAGGGAGAAAAATTAGGCCTCACAGACAGACCAGTAATCAGAAGAGTTTCCAATTTCTTAGCAGCACTCAAAGCCAGAGCCAATGTCCCAATGCCTTAAAACACTCAACGAGAGGAAAGGCCATTCTCAGGTCACAACCATACAGTCTAGGAAGAAACAGCAGAGGCTCCGGGGAAAACTCCCTAGGACAGATGAGACAATGTGGTGCCTAATCAAACCAAATGATGTGTACAGTCTTGGTACAGGCTGAAAAATGAGTTCATTTAGCGGAAACTTCACAGAAAAATGAAAAATAAGTAGGAAAAGAAAGTCATTGGCCTAACCAAAACCATACCAGGTTGCACACAAGAAGACGGGTGACAAGAAACACGCATGGTGATACAAAGAATGAAAAGAAGCCCAAGTCGTAGTGATACACCAAGAAGCAAGCAGGCAAGATCTAAAACAGAAATGGTGCCAGCACCATCGTGCCACTAAGACACTCTGGCGGTGCTGGGGATGGCTCGGCAGTTAAGAGTGCTGCTGGTATTGCAGAAGGCTCGGCACCCAATGGCAGCTCCTAACTGTCTGTAACTCCAGTTCTAGAGAATCCCACGTCCTCTTCTGGCCTCCAGGTACCAGGTACCCACATACATACACGTAGGCAGGCACATATGCATAAACAAAATACAACCCATATACATTACTAAAGAGTGAGCACGGATAGTTGCTTAGGAAGACTGATTACCTCTTGGGCCAAACACTTAAGAGAACTATTTGATTTTAAACACAGCATTCCTCAACCCCCTTTAATGGTCTTTGTATTTTCAGAATCAAACAGCCATCTGCAGTTCATGAAGACCTTGGCAAAGAAGCAGAATACCACATGCCAGGATTAAAAAACCCACGCTTTCTTCATCAGAATGTTTATTAAAAATATAGACTGATGGTCTTGTGCTTAAATGTCATTGTGGTGTATGTTGACTTCCATCAAACAGACTCTTCACAAATACACTTTGAACACAAGTTGTAAACAGAAATGACTGCCAAGACAGTACCATTTCAGACTTAAGCCCCTTAGAATTTGAGATTACTTACAATTCCATCAACACTCACAGAGGTGTGTTATCACAGGCTTAAGGGCACACCATGACCACAAGACATCTTTTTGCACTTCCCAAATAGTTTTATATTTCAGCTATGAAGGTCAGCTCCCAACTTGTTCTTAACAAGTTTTCATGTCCATTTAATCAGTCTTACACCCTTCTGGGCCAATTCATCAGCAGACAGGAAGAGAAACCACCACCAGGCTCTTCACGCCACACGCCGACTCCCAATCCTCATATGCTGTCCAATTTCTTTAAGACATATGGAGCTGAAAGAAAAACCCTAAATTAGGCTCTATTCTGTGAGTCCACAGGCTATGTTGCCCCTGGGGGGAGGGGTAAAAAATTGTGAAATATGGTTTTAAAAACAACTTTCAAACTGTGATCAGACCTGCACTACATGCCAAAAGAGATCCACTGCTTTGCAAAGCTGCCCACCTCGTGTCCCTCAGCCACCAGGGCCATCAAGTGAACACGCCCATACAGTATTGCACTCTTCCTTCCGTCCTTTCCTGTGGGGACCTTTTACCAATTTTGCACTACAAGGACTTGATCCCAGGGCCCTGCACGCTCCTTTACCCCCAAGGCATACCTCTAACTCGGGGCTTATTTATTTTAACCTAAATAGGGCAAGATTCAAGAGGAAACAGATGGGTATTAGGTTCCATTCCCAATGCTGGGAGAAGATACAGGATAGGGACAGCCTCCTCTCCCCCAAGGAATTAAGCGGAAGAGCAGACACCTACTGTTTTCTCTGATTCTACCTGTCACCAGTTATTATGCTGGTTTGACTGATCAGTAGACATAGAGCTGAACGGAACACTGAAGTGACATTACTGGGCCAGAGATGACTCAGCATTTAAATGTGTGCAATGTCACTAAAAAGGACCCGAGTTCAGATCCCAGCATCCACACCTGGCAGCTTACAATTGCCCGTTTAACTCCAGTTCCAGGGACAAGTGCCAATGCCTCCTGGACTGTGCAGGCACCTTGCAGGCATGGGGTTCATATACAGACACGAAGACAACACATAAATAAAAATCTTTTTTTTGTTGTTGTTGTTGTTTTTTTTTTTTTGGAGACAGGGTTTCTCTGTGTAACAGCCTTGGCTATCCTGGAACTTGATTTGTAGACCAGGATTGCCTTGAACTCACTGAGATCCAGAGTCCTCTGCCTCCCAAGTGCTGGGATTAATGGTATGTGCCACCGTGCCCAGTTATAAGTAAAAAAAAAAAAAAAAAAAAAAAAAACTCTAAATAATGACAAATCAGTGCACGTCCAATACAAAGACCACAAAACTAATATCTTCTTGGCAGCTAACCCAAGGTAAAGGTAAAGCAATTTCAAGAAGCTGTCAGATGAGCAAAATGATTTGGGTGTTTGTATTCTCAAGACGCCATCCTGGCGAAGCCAGCAATACCGAGAGAATACAGCAAAAGAGGCACCAGAGTGAGGCACCGTTTTCAGCGCCTTCCAGGAGAAGCCTAACTCCAGTCTTCTATGTTAATCTTATTAGAGAACTGGGCTATAAGGCTGCTCGCTTAAAAAAAAAACAAAAAACTCAGTGAGCCTAGACGGGCCCCGCTTTCTAATTTGTCATTGTGTCTTTTAACCTTGCATATGTGCCCTTTGAACTCAAGCTCTCATTTTTAAAAAGGGACATAGATCAAGTAACGAAATTAACTTTTGTTAATGGTGACAAAATGCTTCAGGTATTCCCCAAGGAAAAAAGACAATTATTTATTTAGCCTCTGTATAAATAAACACAAAGAAAGCAAATCTTTTTATATTTCAAAGGCAAGCACATTAAGAGAAGCGCCTGGTACCGAATTAAGAGCTCGGGATTCTAGATGAGGTTCATTCTCTGAATCGTCAAATGACTTTCGGTCAGCCACTTCTCAGGGACCGTTTCTAGGTTAGCAAAACGAAGGTATTGCTCTAGGGATAACACGTGGAAGCTCCTTCAACACAAGCGTCGGGCGAGCCAAGGAGACTTAACCACACGCCCTCGGCCACCCCGTGCACTTGGCACATCCTCACGACCCGCAGACCCCCAGGATGCCCGCAGTTGGGCCGCCCTGGACGTCCAAGCACCTCGATCTCCTCAGGATGCTCAGTTCAAGGTCCAACGACCGCGTGCTGGGCTGGGGTGGACGCGTGGCCTCACGGTCACAGCCCAGAAGGACACTCACTGACTCGCAGCAGGGCCACGTAGATGATGAAGTTCCGAATGGAGGTGATCACGTCCTCGCGCATCTTCCGCTTCATCTCCTCCGGGTCCAGCTTCGGTGCGAGGCCCTCGATCCGGAACATTGCGGCTACGACTTCAAAGCCTGCAAGCGCCGCACCGCGCTCTCCTCCAGTGGCCGCCTTGCGTCCGGAACTCAGCCAGACTCCACTTCCTGTCCCACCCCTCGTTTTCGTCCTGCGACGGGAACCTGCGAGAGACAATCCTCATCCAGCCAGAGTGCGTTTAAAGCAGGGAGACCTGAAGGGGGCGGCCGCGGTCTTAGGTCTCTGAGCCTTGGGTGGATCCGGACTGTTTTGGTTTTGGTGTTTGAGTCGGCCGCGGTGGCACCTGTAAAGTTGTCTTATGCTGTCAAGTGGGGAGGTGTGTGCTGGCATTTATAGAGTACCCATATATAATCTTCATTTTCTGGGTTCGAAATTTAAAACACGCCAGTCGGAAACAACTTAGGAATGTAATTCATTTGCCAAAGCGTTTACTTAGCATGTATGAAGCCTTAGGTTCCATCCCCAGCACCGCATAAACCTCTTGTAGTGACTGTTTATCTGTTTTCTGTTGTGATAAACACCAACGCAACGTGGGGAGGAAATGGTTTATTTCGCCTAACCTGGTACAGTCCAGGGAAGCCAGGGCAGGGGTTGAAAGTGGAAAGGAGAGGCAGGAACTGAAGCAGAGACCACGCAGAGACGCTTCCCTTAGGGCTAGCTTGGGCAGGCTCAGTAGCAACCTGTATAGTCTCCTACCCAGGACCACCTGCCAGGTGGCCTCCTCCATCAGTGTCACAATGCCCCTCAAACCCACCAACAGGACAGTCTCAGAGAGGCAATTCCTCAGCTAAGTTTCTCTTTTCCTAGGTGACTCCAGCTTGTGTCAAGGTGACAAAAACTAACCATCACAGTGGTGCACACTTGTGATCCCAGCTCAGCAGTTCAAGGTCAGGGTGGTGGCGCACACCTTCGAGCCCAGAACTCAGGAGGCAGGGGCAGGTAGATCTCTGAGCTGGAGGCCAGCCTGGTCTACAGAGTGAGGTCCAGGACAGCCAGAGCTACAAAGAAGCCCTGTCTCAAAACCCAAAACAAGCAAACAAAGAGTTCGAGGTCCTGACCTCAACCCTTGTAATCTCAGCCCTCGGGAGACAGAGGCAGAGGAACTACTGCAAGTTTAAGGCCTGCCTGAGTTACAAAATAATTACAAGGACAATCTGAACTAAAGACCTTGTCTCAAATAACAAACAACCCCCCCCCAAAAAAAAGAAATCAGAGTTCAAAGTCATTATCCTCAGCTACTGAGTTCAGTTTGTGAGTTTCATACCTAGACTTCTAGAAGCCCAGAGAGTGAGCTCTTAACATCTCCCGAATTATTTCTGTATCCTCATTTTTGGACGTGACTGATCCTTGAATATTCCAATGCAGACCTTGGAATACAGCAAGTGTGAGCCAAGTTCAAATCTGATCAGCATTGTACAGATGAGAGGAAATTAAGTCCAGCGTGAGAGTTCTCAGACACGAATCAGAATTTTTCACATAATTCAATATCAGGATGTTCTTTTCTTGAGTGCACACTATATCGCAACAATGAATTGGGGATTAAATAAGAACACTAATTTACTATGAGGTCAATTGATAATATTAGAAAAACGACCCTACCCACCTTCCTGACTGACAGTGCCCTGGGGTTAGGGAAGGAGGGAAAGCTCTTCTGCTTAGTATTTGCAGCTATAATTCACACAGTGGACAAGCAGGGGCAGCCGTGGTGTGGGAGGGGCTGACTCCTAAGGAAGAGCCCCAGCCAAGCCTTCACAAGTGAGTGCTGCAGAAGGAACCTGGAAAGGTCACGCTTGACAATGCCTCTCATTGCCCGCGAAACCAGGGGCAAGTCTGTTTCATTGCAACTTCACTTTTTTGAGTAGTATGGGAAAGGTTTATGGTTAGATGCTCTAAAGTCCCTTCCACTTCTGACAGTCTGTGCATTTTGAAATCTGTTTGTGTCACTGAGGAGGGCATAATAGCTTGGAATGTGTGAATGTCAATATATCATCACGTGTGGTCAGATAGTGTGCTGCCTAGATTTTTGTCAAGTTGACACAAGCTTAGATCACCTGGCAAAAGGGAACCTCAGTTGAGAAAATGTCTCCATCAGATTGTCCTGTGGCCAAGTCTGTGGACATTTTCCTGATCAGTGATTGGTGTGGGAGGGCCCAGCCCACTGAGCAGTACCATTCCTTGACAATCGATCCTGGATTGTAGAAGAAAGCCTGCTGAGCAAGTCAGTAAGCAGCATTCTTCCTTGGCCTCCGCTTTAGTCCCTGCCTGGAGCTTCCTGCCTTGAATTCTTGCCCTGGTTTCCCTTTGTAATGGACGATAGCTATAAGCTGAAATAAACTATTTCCTTCCTAAAGTTGCTTTTGGTTATGGTATTTGCCACATCAATGAGACCATACTAAAACAGATAACAAAAGAGCCAGTCTGTGTATTATCCAAGGTAGGAAAGAGTGTAACAACAAGCAGATCTTGCCACATGATGGTTCAAGCCTTTAACCTCAGTATTCAGAGGCAGAAGTGGGAAGATCTCTCTGAGTTTGAGGCCAGCCTGGTCTACAAAGCAAGTTCTAGGACAGTGGAGGCTACGCAGAGAAACCCTGTCTTGAAAAACAAAACAAAACAAAACAAAATCAATAAGCAGATTTGCACCTGAAAAGTGAGGCAACACAGATTGGGAAGAAAAAAAGTTTTAATTACATAATTCCAATAAGTTAGACTCCAAATACTGACCTAGTTTTGATGTGGAAATACTTTTTCCCCCAGTTACTGAGATACTTTTGAGTAGTTTGGATTCACAGATCAAAGAAGATATTAATTTAACAAAAAAAAATACTTCTGGATGAAAAACAAACAGATTTTTAACACTTGAATTGTGTTTATCCAATGCTCAATTAAAGAGGCACCTGTTTATGTCCATGTAGAAAATGGCTGATCTGCTAAAAGGCAGTGTGATTCTTAGATTTATTTTTTATTTTATGTGTATGAGTGTTTGCCCACACAAATGTCTGTGCATCATGTGCACGCCTGATGCTCAGGGAGGCCAGAAGAGCGTGTTGCATATTCTGGAACTGCAGTTGCAGATGGCTTTGCGCCCCCTGTGGGTGCTGGGAATGGAACTTGGGTCCTCTTGCAAAAGCAACAGGTGCTCTTCACTGACTTCTGTTCGGCCCCAGGGCAATGTAATTCTCATTAAAATTCCTAGGAAGGCTTGCTGCCTGTCTGCCTTGAGTGACAAGGAAGGAATTAATCAACAAGCCTGGCTGGTCTGAAGCCAGTCTAGGAGGATTGTGTCCGTGTCAGAAACGCTCATGCTGGTAAACCTGGCCTTCTTCCCCTTGCATGGCCCTCTAATTGTCTTGCAGGACACTAATAAAGATGGGCTCCCCATTTTAGGCTTTTAAGTAGTGCTTGTTTATATATCTATTTATTTAGCACAGGGGGTATCGTCAGCCGGTCACAGTGAATGCAGGTGAGGTAAATTAGGAAATAAGCCTCCAGGAGTCAGCTTTGGGTGGAGCCATTTCATATCTTACACCCCTCATTTTTGTCCTTATCCGCATGCTGAGTGTTTTAAGTCCCATTTGTGAAGTCACTTGGAACTCTAAAAATACTGTATTTCTAAGACTATTATGTTTCCTGTTCTTTCCACATAATGAACTAAATCTAAGAGCAATGGATTTACTGTGATGTGCACTGAGAGGCAAAAACAAAAAGTATGCATACCTAATTTAATATTGACATTTGTGTTCTTTAGTTTGATCACAGAGGAAATAGCAACTTATGTCATAGCCTGTCTTGTTTTCCATTTAGATCCCAGGAGGAATTTAGGAGCCATTTCCTTTGACTCAATTTCTCAGACAGCCCTCATGTAAGGGTTCAGAGTGTACAACCAAAACTGTAAGAGAATTAAGTGTTTTGATTTCCATCACTGGAGACAAATTTATGGCCAGAGATTCCCTGATGATTCTTGATTGAGGAATTAACACAATATAACATATCAATGAGCTTGTGCTTTGTGAGCTATAGAAAAGGGGCTTTGGGTACCGATCAACTTAACCTCTCTATTTAACATGCAGGGAAACTGGAGCCCAGAGAAGAGCTTCCTGAGGACAGGAATGACATGAGTGGCACTCTGACCTCTAGTTTGGCATCCCCCCCCCCCCATCAGACCATCAGATCCTGCTAGGATAAGAACTTTCCTTGACAGTTCTCCCCCCGAGAGATAAGAAGAGGAAGAATGGGGCTCTTTCCATCTTTGGAGAGGCAGGGCTTACCCACCAGCAGGCTGAGAGGGGAGTTCTTTCCATATTCCCACACCCGTGATGGCAGGTGATCTGGACTGAGTTCTTCAGCTCCATTCCTGTCCTTCCTCATTCCTTAGGGAAGAAACACATCACACTGGCTGGGTGTGGTGGGGCATTCCTTTACACCTAGTATTCAGAAGCTAGAAGGAAGACGTTAGGGCGTCCATCCTCTGCTACACAACAAGTCCAAGGCTATCCCGGGCTACATGAGACCCTCACATCAAAAAAAAAATAATAATAAAAATAATGAAAATAGACTTGACTTGGACTTTAATAAAAATAGATTTGACTTTGACTCAAATGAAATAAAATCAGGACAATGAAGAGAGACCTCTGGACTCTCCCTCCCTTCCTCCATCCCTCCCTCCCTCCCTCCCTTTCTCTTTCCTGCTTTCTCTTGTTGTTGTGTTTTTATTTTTATTTATTCTTTTTTTTTTGGTTTTTTGAGACTGGGTTTCTCTGTGTAGCGTTGGCTGTCTTGGAACTCACTCTGTAGACCAGGCTGTCTTCAAACACAGAGAGATCCACCTGCCTCTTCCTCCGGAGCGCCGGGATTAAAGGTGTGCGTCACCACCGCCCAGGGAGACTTGGACTTCCGAAAACTGTTGTGTGGGGTCGGGGAGATGACTCACCAAGTACAGCGCTTTACTACCAAGACGGATGACCCCCACGAGTCCCACGGGATAAAAAGACAACTCCTGCAAGCTGCTCTCTGACCTCCATACTGGTGCCTTCAGCAATAAACAAACAAACTTTTGAAAAGATGGTTAAAATGATTTCTCTGCTGTGATCACAGAGCTGAGGA